ATTATCATTCGAGGAGACTGTATGAGTTTATGCTACTGCTGAGATGGTATGAGTGCCTGGCTTTTAAACAGCTACATGATATTCACTTGATTGGATGTACCACTGTTTTTTTCAACCGGTCTTTCCTCTGTCATTGGACATTCAGGTTATTTCTAGCTTTCAACATTATAAATAACTCCATGAAAGAGATCTTTGTACATGAGTTACCCACATTTTGGGTTATTGCCCCTACAAGAGAAGTAACTAGTGAGCCAATTAGTCCTAGCTTTTTTTTGAGCAAAAATAAAAATAAATTGGATTTTTAAAATTTTTCATTAAACACGATCCTTTCCATTTAGATTTAGCTTTAATTAGGTAAGAGTTGGTATTGGATAAGAATAGTGGTTTTCTGGGGCGCCTGGGTGGCTCAGTCGGTTAAGTGGCTGCCTTTGGCTCGGGTCATGATCCTGGGGTCCTGGGATCGAGCCCCATGGCTGGCTCCCTGTTCAGAGGAGAGCCTGCTTCTCCTTCTCCCTCTGTCTGCCACTCTGCCTACTTATGTTCTCTCTCTGTCAAATAAATCTTTAAAAAAAAAAAAAGAATAGTGGTTTTCTTTTTTTTTTTAAGATTTTATTTATTTATATTCATGAGAGAAAGAGGCAGAGGGAGAAGCAGGCTCCCTGCTGAGCAGGGACCCCCCCCCCGCCCCGGGGCTTGATCCCAGGACCCCGGGATCATGACCTGAGCCAAAGGCAGTTGCTTAACAGCTGAGCCACCCAGGCGCCCAGAACAGTGGTTCTCAACTGGATATTGGTGAGGTAGATTTGAGGTGGAGTTTGCTGTCCGTGGAAATTTGGCAATGTGTGAAGAGGTTTGTCACAGCTGGGAGAAGGAATGGTACAACATTATTGCACAGAGGCCAGCATTGCTGCTGCTAAACATGCTACAGGGCACAAGACGGTCCCCACAACAAAGAATTATCCACAACCCCCCCCCCCAAAAAAACCAAAGAATTATCCAGCCAACAAAGAATGTCAGTAGCGCTGAGTTTGAGAAACCTTGGATTTGCAGGTTTTGCTGCTGGCAGGAAACATTCTTGTAGTCTTCAGGGCTACTGTTTCTGGGTTCTCTCTGCTCTAGGAGAGGAATGTTTTAGCATCAAATGTCAATAGAGGCTGATTCTGCCAAATGTAATACAGACCTAGTAAATAGCTCAACACGTATCTTCCCATTTTGAGAAACACCATGTGTTTTATTGTTTATACAAAATGCTTATAAAATTATTTATTTTTGTGTATTGGGTATTCTTGAAAATGACTCATTCAGTGTCAGACCTAGTTATTGTTGAGATTTGGCCATACTGTGTGTATTTGAGATCTGCATTTAGCTGCATGAGGAAGAAAATCAGGCAGTAGCTGACTTAACAAATAGAGGCAGATTTTTCTTCTGCAGTGACAGTTCGGGAGGTAGGAGTCCAGAGTTGTTACTATGGCTCCCTGATGTCCTCAGTGACCCGGTTTCCTCTATTTCTGCTTAGCCTTCCTTAGAATGTGCTTTTTACCTTGTTGGCACGGGATATCTCCTCCCCATTCCCATCCCTCACCCCCAACATCAAAACTTGTACCCGGCAGGCAGAAGTGAGAAGGACAGAGATCAGCAGAGCCAGCTCTTTTGATAAAAGCTTTCCTGAAACCCAGTCCAGTGATTTCTGCTTATTCTCATTGGCTGGAACTGTGTCCCATGACTGTTGTTACTTGTACCGGAGGCTGGGAAATAGAGGATTTTAGTTGAGTTAACTGTAAGTTAGAAAGTAATAATTAGAAACTTTAAGTAAGGAAGAATGGATATTAGGATGGCAACTAGTATGTATCTCTGGAGCTGCTTTTTAAAGTATTGGGGGTTCTTTGTTGAGTTTGACTCTAGTCTGGCATGGTGAAGGAAAAAAGGTATTGGGGGTTCTGGTCCTAAATGCACTGAAATGAAAGAAACTTAAAGAGGAACAAACATCAGAAATTTGAGAGAATGGACTCTTACAGAGTTATGTGGGTTTTTTTTTAATTAATTGAGAAAATAGAATGTATTTGTTATGAATATTTCTTAATCCCAAGAACTTGGCTGTTTTATGGTGTTTGGGAAATTAAAATCTCTTCCCTTTCCCTATACTTGTTGCTCCACCTTATTTTTTTTTTTTGCAACATCAGTAATGACTTGTTATAGTGAACACAAATAAGTGTGTTTCTGTAGGCTAAAAATTGGAATCAGCAACTGAGAGATGGACTTAAGTGTGGAAAATAAGTGTATATGCATAACACAAGCATTGAAGCAGGGTTAATGTAATAGAAGGACCCTCTTTGCCCATTAAAAAAATTGTTTTTATTGGACTTTTTAAATATAATCTGGATAGCAATCCCTTATCAGATACTATTTTCTCCCATTCTGTGGGTTGCAACAACTTTTCAATGTGATTTTAAAACTATGTAGCATTAGGACTGATATTACACTAGTATTTATTAGAATTTTAGCTAGTTTATTTTAACGTAATATATGAATATATGGTTTGAAATCCCAGTAGCACAAAAAGTGTCCAATAAAAAGGAGTTAAAAGGACAGATTACTTTGGAAAGGAGGAGAGGGGGCAGGGTAGGGAAAGCCTTTGGCTATATCTGATCTGTACAGCTTTATAATTTGATACCTATATACAAGACAAAGTGATCACCACCACAAGACTAGTTACCATCCATCACCATGCAGTTGGCCTCCTTCACCCATTTCATCCACTCCCGAAACCCCTTCCCCATGGGTAACCACTAGTTTGTTTTCTGTATGTATGAGTTTTGATTTGTTTATTGTTTTGGATTTCACATATGTGTGAATCATGCAGTGTTTGTCGTTCTCCTGTGATTTATTTCATTTAGCATGCCTCAGGGTCCACCCATGCTGTAATAAATGACAAGGTTTCATTCTTGTTCATGGCTGAGTAGTGCTCCATTGTTTTAATTATGTGTGAGAGAGAGAGAGAGAGAGAGTGTGTGTGTGTGTGTCACATCTTCTTTATCCTTTCATATGTAAACAGACACTTAAGTTGTTTCCACATCTTGGCTATTGTAAATAATGCTGCAATGATGTGTTTTATTCCTTTCCTAAAAAAAGAGGTTTGGGGGCACTTGGGTGGCTCAATCAGTTGAGCATCTGACTCTTGATTTCTGCTCAGGTCATGATCTCAGGGTCTTGGGATTGAGCCCCATGAAGGCTCCATGCTTAATGTGGGGTCTGCTTGAGATTCTCTCTCTCCCTCTCCCACTTCCCTCACTTGAGCATGCACTCTCTCTCTCTAAAATAAATAAATTAAAAAAAGATTTGAAGTGGATATTCAGAAGTGGCAATAAGTGTTTAATCTAACTGATGGTAACATGAGTGTGATATTATTTGTATTTTTCTGTTGGAAATATTTCATAATGAAAACAAATTTTTAGTTAACATAAATCTGTACCCATCCCTAGATGTTCAGCCTCCCCCCCCCCCACAAAAGTTACTAATTTCTCATCTCCTTCTAGAATTATTCACTGTATTCTAGGCATATTTATGTTTGAGTGGGTTGTTCCCTCCCCACCATGAGTGCATATTCTTTTGTACTTTTTTTTCCCACTGTGCAGTGAAATTGTTCATTTCATTGTTTCTTTGAAATTTTTTCATATCACTGTATGTAGTACTTGTCCTTTTTCCTTGTTCCCATGTATTTTACTGCATTGGTGCCTTATAATTTATCTCACCAGTTCACTCAGATTCTTGCTAATTTTTCACTCTTATGTACAGTGAACATCCTTGTGCATAAATCCTTGCACACAGGTGTGTGGCTACATGATATAAATTCCTTGAGGATAAAATTGGTAGGTCAGATTTATGATCTTATTAAATTGTTCTCAAACATTGTATCTGTTTATATTCTGCAGTAATGTATGAGAATACCATCATTTGCATAGTGTTAGTAGAATTTTTATTCTTGCCAATTTGTTTTCTCTACGCTTGATACAGAAAAGCTATTAACAGAAAACTGTTGTAGTATTCTTTTATTTTGTAATTTTTAAAAAATTTTTTATTTGAGAGAGAATGTGTGCTAGTGAGAGAGTGCGTGCCAGAGAGAGTGAGACCACCTCTAATTTTCTATTTTCATATGTTTCATTCAGTTTTAGTATCAAAGTTATGCAGCCTCCTATATTAATTTGGACAGAAATATTACCTTTCAGTTTCAAATACTTTTCCATGAAAGCATATGATAACAAATGTAATGAGCTGAAAAGATGAAAAAATGTCAACTATTCCCACACATTAATTATAATAAGTTTTTAAATGTTAAGTAATATTATATGTACAATTAAACACATTCAGGTCTAGGCTTAGTGTGGCCATATCCTCTTGGAATTTCTTCCCCAGTGGAACACAGAAAACTGTAAGGGTCCTAAGATGAGCTTCTGGCCCAGTGGTGGTTGCTAAGCAGTTATGGGTCTAGAAATAAAATTTGAGGATATTTCTGGACTCAAAGTAACAGCAGTATGGGAAACTCCAAAAGAGAGGTAGATATTATTGAGAGTTTTGTGAGAGATCTGAGTATGATGTGGTGAGCCTTAGATACCTCCATTGCATTTGTTTTGTGTTACATAAAATGTTTAATGTTGCCTGTAGGTGTTGAATATTGCATGGCAATATATAAATACATCCAGAGCAGAGACTTTGTGCCTGAAGGACCTTGTTCAGTCCTGAGGTCTGCCACTTACTGGCATTATGACCTTTGGCAGATTGTTTAACCTCTCAAAGCTTATCATCCCTCGCATATAAAACAGGGATGATAGTTTTTCCTATTGGTGTTGTAAGAATTGAATGAGATAATGTAGACAGTGAGCTTTGTGTTGTACTTGGCATTTCATCAGTGCTTGATAAATGTTACTTTATACTGGCTGGGAAAGTATTTGTTTTGCTATATACAACTTAAGAGGAATATTAAAATATATTTTTGTTATTTTAAGGAAATTCGCAATGAGTCCCATGACTATCCTCATAGAGTGGCCAAGTTTCCAGAAAACAGAAATCGAAACAGATACAGAGATGTAAGCCCATGTAAGTACTTTTGGTTTGTGTGCATGTGTGTGTTTGTTGGTTTGTTTTAGGAGGCAGAATACAATGAAAAAGAAGGTTTGGGATCAGGGTTGATAAGTACAGTGGTTTTCTTCATATTAACATAATACACGTTCTTTAAAGAAAAATTTTAAGGCACAGAATACTAGAAGGAAGGAAAATTGCTCATAATTATTGCATCCTTCAAACACAGCCACTGTTATTTTGGTGTATTTCCTACTATTTTTCTTACGCATAATTTTTTTCTTTAAAATTAATTGTAATCATATTTATGTGTAATGTGTATTCATATATGTATATTTTCATTATTATTCCAACCTTTTAAATATTAAAATATTTATCAGTGTAATTTGCTTTTTTCCCCAAATTATAAAAATAGTACGTACTCACTGTAGAAAATTTTTAAAACAAAAAAGTATAAAGGAAAAAACCCTATGATTTAAAAACAGAAACCTTTGGGTTTATATTCTTTTTGTATTTTTTCTGAATAAACATACACACATTATTTTTATTTTTATTTTTTAAATATTTATTTGAGAGCAAGCATGAGTGCGCATACGAGCAGGGAGAGTGTAGGGAGAGGGAGACAGTCTCAGGCAAGCTCCATGCTGAGCACCGAGCCTGACCATGGGGCTTGATCTCTGGATCCTAAGATCATGACCTGTACTGAAACCAAGAGTCAACCAAGAGTCGGATGCTTAACTGACTGAGCCCCCAGCATGCCTATACACATTCTTTTAAATATAAAATTAGAATCCTTCACATATTAATTGTAGCTCTTTTCCCACCTCACAATACATTGTAAGCATTTTCCTGTCATAAATCCTTTAGTGGCTTTAATAGTGGCTTTGGATATGCTATTCTTTTATGTAACAGTTCCCTTGTGGTTGAACATTTGGATACTGATGTACACACTCATTTATATACACAATTCTGTGAATAGTTGTCATACCACTGTTTTAAAAATGTGTTTATCCTGAGGTGATTTTATTTTTTGTTCTGATTGATACCATTTGTTGAAATACTAAATTAAGCTGCCTTACTATTCTACAGTATTACCCCATATTTGATTTTAGTGGGCATAGGTATTTTCTTTAGGGCTGCTTGTTAGTAGGGATGTTAAAAAAAATCTGAATGTATCACATTTTGGTTCTTGCTTGTTTATCGTTCTTTCCTCTAGTTGACAAGGGTATGGTGCTGGTGTGCTGAGGCCTCCTGTGTAGGCTGAATAATCTCACTCTACTCAAGGCTATGATTGTATACCCTTATATATGTTGTATTCCTTCTTAGGGGAGGGTATGAATATGCCACTGAAAATCTAATTACTGGGGGAAAGGTCCATACTTTCTTAAAAGAACAGAACATTCTTTCTGTTGACCAAGTACATTTCCATGAAAAGTGTATTGGCTGATTTTGGACAAATCAAATGAGAAGTAATCTCTTAAAATATTTCATGTTTATTATAAATTACTTATTAAATATTATGTTTCTCTTACGTTTTCCTTAACAATTAATAGTGTTTGTAAAGATAAGTCTCCTGCAGAGAGTGGTTTTCTGTTCTTCACTTATAGACACTTGAAGATAGGAGAGACTTCCAATGAAACCTGACTCACCATGGCAACAATTCTGGTGTTGGTGTGTGTGCAGGGAATGGGGGTATGGGCAGTGGTTCTAACATTTAGGTGCCCCTTCACCCACTCCAAATTTCTGTTGAGTATCATTGAGCTAGAACACTAATCTTTAGTGTTTTGTACCAAGAGTTTTGAAGACAGTGTGTCCCAGTTGTACACCTTGCTTTGTTGCCTCTAATTTAAAAAAAACAAAAAACAAAAACACCAAAAACCCAAGCTTCTTATTTTGATAATTGTAGCTATCTATGCGGTTGTGAGAAATAGCACTCAGAGATCCAGCATACCCTTCCCCTAGTTTTCCCCAGTGGTAACATCTTGGCATAATTGCAATCAGGAAATGGACATGGATATGATCCATCCAGATCTCCCCAGTGTTACTTGCACTCATTTGTGGCTGTGTTCAGTTCTGCTCAGCTCTGTTACATGGTAGAGTGTGGGGTCTCCACCCCAGTCTGGGTACGGACCAGTGGAACAGCTTCACCTTAAGATCCCTCCCTGCCTTACAGTTCTGGATCTCTTCAACTCTCAACTTGAAATCTTAAATGCTGCTACCTTGAGGGCTACTTTCTGTCTTCCCAGCTCTTTGACTTCATCAGGATCTTTAGTTTGTTGACTTTTTCATTTATTATAGTACATTACTTCCTTCCCCACCCTATTTATTACTTAATGACTTTCTTGCTGTTCTAATATGTTAGAAAGATAATCTCTGGCTCTTTAATTCTACCTACCCTGTGAAACCTAGCGTCAGATAGTCGTTCATCTTCTGTGACCTTTGGGCTCATGTGTGTGCCTTGGGTCGGCTCGGCCACTGGCTGGGCCTGCGGTGTCCCGCTGTCCTCCGTGCCCTTCGTCACTCCCACTGCCCCTCTGCTCTGGCTTGTCCCAAAGGAAACCGGCTCTCAACACACCCCCACTCCCACCACTCGCAAAATGTGATCTGCCTTCAGTTCTGCAGAGAAACATTTTAAAAATCCAGAAATAACTCTTCAACTTCATGTTCTACCACCTGGAAACTTATTTCTGTCTGCACTCACCTTTTCCTGAAGTCCCAGGAAATAACCTTCCCCTCTCCTGTCCTAGGTTTGTATCCCGATGCTTCATTCCTCCTCAGGGACCTCATTGGCTGTCATCACCACTCTTACTCCTGTCTTCAACCGAGAGGTTGAAGTAGCTCCTTTCCCTTGTTACGTAAACGTGCTTCAGCCTCTTCTCATCTCAACCATCTTATCACACCCCAGCTCCACTTCTCTGTTACCTGTGTGGACATGAGCACGTGCACACGTTTGCACAGAGTCTTAAAAAAAAGACACCGTATTGTTTGTCTCTCCATCCTCATCACCTGTGCGTTCTTCAGCCCATGGTTCTGCCCCAGGCTCCCCACTGAAACTTTTATTCTCAAGTACTGTTTTCAAGCTTTCTAGTTTTCACATGCAATGAGGGACTTTCCATTGGTTTCTTTTCTTATCCCTCTGACTTTTGACATTGTTGACTCTTCCTTCCTTTCCTAACACCATATTTTTTCTGTTTTGCTATTATTCCTCTGGCTAGTCAGGCATTTTCAGAACTTCTCTTCCTCAGTTGACTGTCTTCTTCAGGGTTCTGTCTCCCCCTCCTTCCCACTCTGACACTTCTATGAATGATCTCATCATCTGTGGGTTTGGTTACCATGTGCTTGTCACCCTAAATCTCATCTGTAGCCTAGGTCTCTCTTAGCTGTAGACCCATTTATGCAAGGCATTCATCTCTTGTGGATGTCCTGTAGCTGCCTCAGTCTCAGTATGTCTAGATTCTGATCTAGCATTCCTCCCCACACAGTCCATTGGCCCAACCCTAAGACCTGCGTTTTCTGCTGTATTCCCCATATTCATAAATAGTATTGATACATATGCTGCAGCTAGAAACTCAGACTCCTGTCCAATTCAGCTCCCATATCTACTTGATAACTAAATAATTACAATTCCATTTCCACAATGTGTTTTTTTTTTGTTTTTTTTTGGGGGGGAGAGAGAGCATGCATGTGCACTGGGGGGGGGGGGGAAGCAGAGGGAGAGGGAGAGAGAGAATCCCAAGCAGGCTCCATGCCTGGCACGGAGCCCGATGCAGGGCTCAATCTCACAACCCTGAAATTACGACCTGAGCCAAAATCAAGAGTCAAATGCTCAAGGTGACTGAGCCACCCAGGCGCCCCCACAATGTGTTTTAAATCTCTTCTTCACTGTTTGTACTGGCTTGGTTCAGGCCCTTGTTCTTCCTTTTCTGGATTATTACAATAAACTCTTGACTCCTTGTCTGTTCTGTTCCCATTTTAGTCCATTCTCCATGCGGTGTCCAGGATAATCTTTGTAAAATGCGTGTCTGTTTTCCACTCTCCAGTAGCATTCCACAAGTTTTATGAGAAATTAGTTTTGTAGCATTATCATACAAGACCTTTTGGAGACTGACCCTTCACATACCTCCAGATTTTTTCTAGCCATTTTCTCACAAATTTATTATTATTAAAGATTTTATTTGTCAGAGAGAGTACAAGCAGGGGAAGGCAGAGGGGGCAGCAGGCCTTCCCGCTCAGCAAGGAGCCCGATGTGGGATTCGATCCCAGGACCCTGAGATCATGACCTGAGCTGAAGGCAGCCGCTTAACCGACTGAGCCACCCAGGTGCCCTACTCAAAATTACTGATTTTGGTAAAACTGAAACACTTAAGAGTTCTCCCAATGTGACCAGTTTCTAAGTTTTTTTTTTTTTTTTTTTTTTTTTTTAGGTTTTATTTTTAAGTAATCTGTACACCCAGTATGGGGCTTGACTGAACTCACAACCCAGAGATCAAGCATCACATGCTCTACCGACTGAGGCAGCCAGGCACCCCCCAGTGTGACCAGTTACTAATAACTCAGTGTCTTTGAATATATCATTCCCTTTTTGGAACATCTTCCTCTTTCTGACCCACATTAGTCAAAATCCTCTTCTTCCAAATATCTACCCCACTACTTCCCCTTGGGTGTTATCCTCACACAGTGGAAGAGGTCATGGAGGTGATGACTCTCATTAAATATAGACGGGCCCAGGAATGTGTATTTTAGAACACTCCCTGGATTATGCAGATATACCTTTCCTTATTGATAGTCATTATAAAATTTAAAAATGTATTTCCATACAAAATACTTTACAGTTGGTTTGGTTTAGAAAACATGCATTGAAAACCAGCTACACAGCTGACTGACACTAGGCTATGCAGAGAATACCACGAATATATGTACCCTGCCCTCTGATAATTCACAGTATAGTGAGGGAGATACAGACCTGTTGTGCTGTGTGTATCATGGGATAGAACCGTGTATATTGGTGGAGCTGTGCC